TGAACATTTAAAACTAACATGAATCTCTATAAATGTCCAGTTTTAGGGTTTTACACAGAATTAAACCAAACAACATGAATCAAAACATGCTCTTTATTTATTTCCACTAAATAACAAGTACATCAAATCAGATTGAAGCTAAGGGCATACATAAACTGTCTAACAAAACCCATGTGGCTGATGTGTAGATCAATGATAGGGTTCCACACCATACAAAGAGAACCAAACTAACTAGCATTAAAAAATGAAGTGAGCCTGAAAGCTTAATGGTCCTGAAGCCCATTTCAAAATATGTTAATTGGATTAATTAAATATGGGCGAATCTGGGTTTGGATCAGCAGATAAGGATAAGAGGATAACTCTTAACTATTCCTAAAGATTTGGATCAAGGAACTCCTAATTTGATTAGGAATAGTTAATCTTTATCTACGGATAAGATAAGGGTCTTTATCACTTAAAGAGTTCAGATCCAAATAAAGATTTTGATTAGGAAACTCCTAATCAAATTAGAAGGTTGTCTTTTTAAGGCAATAAATAGAGAGCATGATGAACCTAAAAAAGGCACACAACACAGAGAGAAGGCGACTTAGTTAGACTGGTCTTGCCTTTAATTCTTTTTATTCTTGCTCTTGCCGCCCTATCCTGTTCGATCTCCAATTCTTGGATCTGATCAAGATTTGATCTTGATATTGTTTCTTGTTAGAAGAAACAATTTTGAAGTTGTGCTCACTATCTCATTCGATTCTTATTGAAGAATCACAAGTTCTTAGTGAAAAACTACCTATTGATCCTGCCTCATCTAAGTTGTGTCATTTTAAGTAGAGGGAAGATTTAGTACACTTTTTGGGCGTGAAAACCTATGTTGGGAGGAGCATTCTTGCATGGATTCCGTATCAAGTATATCCCTCCCTATTCTTGGTTTTAGATTTGGCCCAATTTAATTATAAGAACGAATACTGAAAATATAGTTTTCTAAATTGGGAATAGGATTCCCGGATGACAATAAATAATTTTTTTTGAAATTTCGCCCAACCTTCATATAACGTTGGACCATCCATATGATACGTTCAAGTTTGTATTTGGTAAAGTCGGCTATAATTAACTCTAGCGACGAACTAGCATTAATTAAAAAACAAAGCCACAGCCGTTGTGCCACATGGAAAGCGTGGGCTTAGACAAAATGGTATCTCATGCCCACGTGCAAGCTAAGCTATGCAAAAATTTAAAATTGGCCAATAATAAGTATAACGAGAGAGCTAAGTGAAATTCAGGCGGCCGGCCGGAAGACATGGGGCAAGGCGACGAGATGGAATTGGAGGCTCAGGCTCAGATATGGAAATACATCTTCTCCTTTGTTGATTCCTTTACTCTGAGGTCTGCAGTTGAACTAGGAATCCCAGACATCATACATAGTCAGGGGCGTCCCATCACACTATCACAGCTCTCTGCATGTCTCCCGATCGATTATGCCAACCCAGATCGCTTGAATCGCTTAATGCGATATCTGGTGAGCATAGGAATCTTCAGTCGAGAACATGGTAGCGCTGATGATGAAGATGATCAAGAAGACAAGTTTGGACTAACTTGTCTATCAAAACTTCTAGTACGAAAGCTGGAGAACAATATGGTTCCATTCTCCATGTTGGACTTCAAGGTGTTAATGGAGCCATGGTATCACTTGACATGGAGCTTGGATGGCAGAGCAAGCGGCGTTACAGCATTTGAGAGAGTTTATGGGACAAAATTTTGGGATTATGCAGGGCAGGATCTGGAGTTTGGTGAGAAGCTGAATGAGGCCATGGCTTGTGATACAAGCTCAACGATGCCTACACTACTCCAACAATTCAATCAAGTGTTTGCAGACATGAGTTCAGTCGTAGATGTTGGTGGGGGGACTGGCACGGCTGCTATGGCCATAGCCAAGTCCTTTCCAAATGTGAAGTGCACCGTCTTTGACCATCCACATGTGGTAGTGGACGATCAATCAGACTCTGGTGGTGTGGCCAAGGTCTCCGGCGACATGTTCAACTTCATCCCTCGTGCAGATAATCTTCTATTAAAGGTTGGCGCGTGATTCTCTGTCTGTCTGTGCTGTCTCTATATTAATAATTATAATATCCTCTTTAATTTGTTGGTTGCAGTGGATCCTGCATAACTATGGAGACGAAGACTGTCTGGTTATCCTCAAACGGTGCAAGGAAGCACTGCCAGAAAGGGGAGGAGGAAAGGTTGTAATCGTTGAAACTGTGATGGAGGGTGATCACAATGATGAAACTGCAGCGGAGATCCATGATGATGAATTTACACCTTGTAGACTTATCATGGACATGGAAATGATGTTGCTGTTCGGGGGTAAAGAGAGGACTGCCAAAGAATGGCAGAGTCTGGTTGAACGAGCTGGGTTTAGGCGCTGCACAATGGAACGAATCAACTCATCTATGCACTCTCTAATTCAGGCCTATCCTTGACCTATTGACACTTGTTTATGTATGTAATCCATCATAATTAAATTTACTGAATGCTTTAGTTTAGAGGCTACATGCGGCAGCTGGACCATGGTGTTTACGTATCAGTTGTTTCCTTTGAAATGCAATGCAGGCCGCTGCCCCGGTTTATCCTCGAACAAGGCCATTACATTTACATGCATGGATGGCTCACCAACAATCCATGGACATCATTCTCTTTCACTTGATTACTGCCGTTACATCCGTTTGACAACTATATTAACTGCTCTCGATCAGTTGTTGTTGTTTAATTTTTAGTTTTTTTTCTTCTTCTTCGTTTTTTCCTTTCTTGTTTTTTAAGATAGTCATTCTGTGTCTCGGAACTATTAGAAAGTAAATCTTTTACCAGGTCTATTTGCTCATGAAATTGAAGTAATTACACATTAAGGTTTTGTTTGGATAAGTTCAAGATTTGTGCTTTTAAACCCCAAATTAAAGTACAAAACCCCACACTTGTATAAATAAACAGTGTCCTCGTTAGGTCAAAGACTATGTATTTGCGCACTGCATGACCAAGGCTTAAAGTATATGTGGGAATTGGAAACTTGATTTTAAGAGATCGTATCCGGATATACCTTGAATATTTATGTTTATCAGAGAAAAATCAAGATATACAAGATACTTCAAGTTGCCTCATCATGATATGCTGAATTCTTCTAATCTTTTTTTTTTCATAAATTTCTTTTCTATTGTTTTATGTGTTCATTAAGGTCACCTTTAGGGTCTTTGAAGAGAAATCTTTTTACTGATAGATATATGTACCCATCAGTAAAATTCCGGATTCCGACCATCAGCAAAAGTTTCTGTCGGTATATGTACCATTTTTGTAGGTAATATGCTTTCATTACTCACCAATACGGGGAGATACGGTGGAGAAATTAAGAAACACCCCATCATTGCTTACCATTCCCCATATCGGTTAAATATATTCAAAGATACAATACAATGCATTCCGTATTGGTTGTATTGTGTTGAAAATTTAAACCGTTCAATCCCAAATTCAGTGGTCAAGATGGCTTTTTATCTACCATAAGTCTGACAGCATTGGTACTGGATGCTTTTGTATCTGCACCACCATTTCTATGAACCATAAGCATATTACATCACTTTAACTTTGTTATTCCATTCAACCAAACAACCACCACCACCATATTGAAATTATCTTGATATGAAAATATGGTTATTAATGTAATATCAGATTGCTTGCTTCCTTGGATATGGAAGGGGTTGTCAAAATTGTACAAGGGTCCTTGCATGAGGTACCCCTAGCCTCAATTGTTTGAGTTCCTTCTCTTCTCACCTGTACAAAACACACACACACACTCTCTCTGATCAACCATTATGCAACTACAATTTTGGATGTGCTCATACAGAAGTTCCAGATTTCAGGTCCATGATCTCCTTGATCTGTAAAGCAACTTAAACTGTATTTTTCTATATATACATTAATTTAGTTGTATACAAACGTGCAGACAAATACATTTGGATATACATAAGAATGACAACAGGTAGGGTACCCGTGAAAATTGCCTTTCTTATTCCCGAACCCGTTTAGGTACCCTTGATCCTAAACCCATCCCAAACTTGTTTACCTTTTCCTCCCAATTTTTCAAATCCATTTAACCCATCCTGACCGGTCCCACCCGTGAAAATTGCCTTTCCTTATTGTTATCATTTTTTCAAATTTTAAAACCAAATTTAGTTACCTTAACTAATACCCATAATCAAACCAATTCTGAATTCTTTTGTCTCTATAATCTCAATTATCTATTTAAGAGACTTGTTTTGATGACTAATTTCTTAAGAGAATGTACTTTTTCTACTACAAATAACACCTTTATTTATTAAACTTTGTTCGTTTTAAATCTTGTAACCTTTTAATGAGATTTATAGTATTAGTTTGTTAAGCTATACATATATGTGTATATCAATGTTTCCTTGGGACATTCTGATGGGTTATACATCCCACTTTTATGGTGAAATTACACTTCACGTAAAGTCATAAACTATTAAAATACATTTTTCTTATGTATATATAGAGTTATTACAGCTGTAGATTATATAAAATTCATAAAGATAGATAGATAAACGGGTATCAGCGTTAAGTATAATTGATTTGGGTACTGAGTACCATAAGGTTAAAACCCAAACCCTATAGGGTTTTAATATAACATCCCAAACCCTATAGGATTTTGATAAACACATTCAACAAAACAGATCAAATACCCTAAAATTCCCATAAAATTGCCATCCCTAGACATACATCTTCATGCATACAAACGTGTTCAACCAATGTAGTGTGCATAAATGTTTATAAGTTCTTTTCCCTTGCTCTTCACAGTATGTTCAGGTGTGGTGAGTATGTTTGAAAACATGCAATAAAGAATAGCCCCTATTGTTATAGAAGTTTTTCTAAAATGGAAATCAGATACAAAACATTAGGTGCCGTGTGTATCACTAACTACTACTACATAGGGCAGAGGAGAAAATCCTACTCAAGAATTACAAAAAAAGTAGATGACTGAAGACTAAAAAAAAGCATCTTCAAGTTGATTATATGTAAGCTTATACATAAATAATTCAGAAACTTTTGGTTGCTTGTAAAGTATGAATTTCTTAAATATTACTTCTGATATTTTTTATAATTCTTCTTAAGTTTCTTCTCCTTTCTTCCTCTTGGAAAAGATGGTTTATTATGGTTGTGTTTCTTGATGCTTATAATCGATGCCTATTATTTCCATGTAAATTTGAACCATTTGTATTAATTGTTTTGCATTGCTCCCTTTTGTACAAATTAAGTGGTTCATTTTGTTTGTTTTCTTATTAATTCTATTCTTAAGCATAAATTAATGGCACCAAAAAATTGTTTAGTCTTATTATTCTACATAGAAGCAATCCCAAGAAAGGAGGAAGGGTCATGCTTCGATTAATAATTGTGCATTGAGGGGAGTTGTCAAAACTGAGAAGTTCATATACGTGCATAAGACTTACACACAAGAGTTGGACACTACTTTTAACCCAAAAGCTTAAGCCATTAGGCTGTCCCCTTACACCTCTCATTTCTTTCCAATATAGGACTCTACATTCCACACACTCACATATGCATCCCTTGAATAGAATCTATGATCATAAAGCTTGGAATACACCAATCAAGAGCCCTTTGCTGACCATAGGGGAGCCAACTATAGGGATCCCATTCCCATGGATGGCACCATCATGGGAGACTACTTGACCATGGGGAAGCCAACAAAGCCATGGGAATCACTAGTGCATCTGTCAACATTTGAGCCCAACCAAACTTTTGGCTAGTTCTGATACCATTGTTGTGCATTAAGGGGAGTTGCCAAAGCTCATATACCATTGTTTGTAGGAAATACACGCAAGAGCTAAACCCCACCTCCTTTAACCTAAAAGTTTAAGCCACTAGGTTGTGAGTCGATTCTTGTATATAAGCAAGTCCCTTAAACCTCTTATTTCTTTCCAATGTGGGGGACTCTCATTCCATACACTCACGTGCATCCCAACAATAGTAAACATGCCTAAACATGTTTACCCAATAAATATTGCAAAATATGGAATCATAGCTGACTTCCCCAAAGCAATCGAGTTAATGCATTTATAAATAAAGATAAAGAGAAGTTGCACTTGATTTTATAATATAGATGATTCCCATGAAAGGTCATGGGCCACGTTATGTTACTAAGCTTCTCTACGGGAAGTATGGTCAAAACTAGTAGTAGGATTCTTGAAATACTAGTCATTGTAAGTATGGGAGAGCCTCTTAGAAAAGAGTCCTTCACCAAAAGCTGCAAAATTGGTGGTTTGTTGTTGATGCTATTCAACTTTCAACATCCACTGGGTTCTTAATATGGTCTGTTTTGATTGATAGGTATTGAATTGTGCCTTGATTTCTTTGTCGTGGCCCATTCCATGTTCCAACCTGCATTGATATGGGGCTGCTAGGCCCAATATGGACCTGATCCTTGAGATAACAAAAATGAAGAGCCAGCACCCAGGGGTTAAGAAAGTGTAAATCCTGCTCCACTCTTGTTTTGGATTTTATTTTTGATTACACTACAAAATAAAATGAAGAGCCACTCTCATGGGAGTGCAAATGGGCTGAATGTAAATTCTGGTTTACTATTGCTTTCTACAACGTGTCACACAGGGAGGAGGAGAGGCATTGTAGAGAGCCCCAACAGCACAGGTGCTGTCAAAAACATAAACTTGCCACATCATCATTTATGTAAAAAAAAAATGTTTGGCAGTGTCCATTTAAAAAAAAAAATGGGAATGCAATATGCCTAGAATAATTTCAGGCAGTGGGGCCTGATGATTTAGGCTTATTGCAGTGCACAGACATCCTACATTTTTGCGGTGGTTATTGAGAAACATGTACCAATTGAGCTTAAGACCAAAAAAGAAGTAGCCACTACTGATTCAAGCATTATTGGTAGTTCTTTGGCGTTGAGGAAGCACTGACACATCTCGATGGAGATCCAAGACAAATCATGCAGACAAAGTCATGATGGTGGACTCATGGCCTTCTGATGATCTTTCTTTAATTGGTATAAATAATCTGAATAAATCAAAAAAATTAAACGATTATGTTCAAGAATTCTTGAACACGTTACAAAGTCCATGAGCCTCAATCATCTCATATTCGCAGCAGCACTGGACATTGCAGTAGCAACACAGACCAGTTGCCTTCTTTCCTTTCTCTGGAGTACACGCAACTTAGGAGATTTTGGCTTTGTTGTTTCTTTGCATGATCTGTGTGCAAAACACAAATCAATTAGCAATGAAGAAAATTTAGACAATAAACATGGTTGTTGTTAAAAAGATCGCTTACTTTTGTGGATGGAAGGGATTATCAAAATTTGGCAGCGGTATTGCATGGGGTACCATGGTCCTCCTCAATTGCTTGAGTGCCTTCTCTTCTTCCATCTGTAAAACACATACATCATCATCATCATCATCACAATAATAATAATAATAATAATAATAATATGAGAATTACAGTTGCTATTACCATTTTAGCAGATTCATACTCCTCCCTGTACCTCTTGTACATCATTTCTTTCTCCTTGATCTGCAAATATTGGCAAACTTATGATTCAATTGTTCAGATATGTCCAATTTCTTAAGTATATGTATTTTTTTTCTACATGTTGACGGTTTACCCAAGTAAAGACAAGGAGCTTTTTTCTATTACCTTCTTGTCAAATTCTTCTCTACCAACAGCCCTATGATCAACATGGAGTGCAAACCCCTGCACCTGTGTGAGGGGTTTCCGCACCTTCTCAGGAAGTGGAAGTGGATCACTGCATATTCATCCATGAGACAAGTTACAAATCTACTTTCTTTGGTAAAAGTACTTGTAGGAGAATTTATATAAGACTGAAACTCATTCAAATCTTACTCTTTCATGATTGGTTGTGCCTTGAAAATCCTCATCTGAGCTTCTTCTTTCTCCTTCATCTGTTTTTCTTCCATCTCTCTTTGTAATTCCTCCTCATGCCTTGCAAGACTTTCTAATTGGAAAGGTTCTGGCTTAGTGCATGGTTTTGGCTCAGGCTTTGGTGGTATCTGGCATAAGAAACAATTATGTTGCGTAATCTTAAGCTAAAAAAATGTGAAGAAAGGAAGACAACAAGGAAAGCAAATATATTTTGTTACCACTGGATAGTCAGTAGTGTAAGGGTATGGCATAGCCTTTGGGATTCTAGCCTTCTCCTCTTCCCACTGTTTCTCTAAAAGTTCCTGTTTAAACTCCCTCTCCTTATCTGCTCCACGTTCCTATTAAATGGAAAATAGAACATAAAGAAGTAAATCATCAAGTCTGCAGTAAGATTGTCTGTAGGAGGGAGCTGTAATGTAACATAAAAAAGAGTAAATCATCTAGTCTGCAGTAAAATTGTCTGTGGGGAGGAGGTGTAAGGTAGGTGAAGATGGATGATTTACCTCTGTGTGGAGATGGAATGGATTTGGTGTGGTCAGTTTTGGAATTTGATTTTCATGGCTAGGTTCTGAATTCAAAGAAAGCTGTAAAACATAAATAACAGGTCAGTAACCGTACAATGAGGAAAAAAAGAAACATCTTTCTGTATTGGAAGCACCTACCTTGTTAAAGAGATCAATGACTGCAGATGCTGGTGGTATCCGTTCATCAGTTGCAAAATGGAACTCCTGAGGTTTCGTTACATTGCGCTTTGGATTGCAGAATATGCCTAAATCTCCTTTGCTTTCAAATATCTGAAGAAACATTATTTCGAGTGTTCATTGGGCACAATCAACCATGGATATAGTATTCTAAACAAAATGCCATTACAAGTGTTACCTTTTTATTAAATGGTCTTGCCTTGAACTTTGGCATCTTTTCAAGTTCTTCTTTCTCTAATTCTTGGGAACTCTTAACCCTGTGACAGTAATGCTCTCCAATCAGTGATACAGATTCTTTTCTGATCAAAAGATATCAAAAATATTGGGAAAGAAGAAACGGATACTCAAAAATCAGAACTTACTTTGGTGGCCTAGCTCGTAACGATGTCTCAAGATGAGGAGTCCTAGGTAAAGTGAGTTTATGGGGTCTGTCCAGATTCTGTAAAACAAGGTTACTATTAATTTCCCAATATAAACATGCTAGAGCACCATGGTTACAAAAACAAAATGAGTTTAACAAAATAAGAATTCTTTTCTTAACCTGACAAGAAGATTCAGTTGAGGATACAACTGTTGATGTTTCAGCATGCTGGTTTGCTCTCTCCATTGTCTTCAAATGAAACTCCTGATAAATTTTCAAGTGTTAGTGTAATTAACATTAGTGTTTTTGTTCTAATCATCCTCCTATATTTCAAAATCTAGTTACCTGAAACTCTGGTAGTTGAGGGGTGCTTCTTGGCAATGCAGGCAGAGTTGGTGCTTGCAGGATCTAAACAAAGAGTATATGTAAATGAATATTCAACCAATTAGAGAGCATAAATCTGAATATATAAATAAAAATAATACAATCAAGAATTATGAGCAAGAAGCTGACTTTTTTGTTTACAGGCCGGGCCTTAAACTTTGGAATGTTTGCCATCATTTCTTCCTCGAGCTCTTCTGTACTCTTCACCCTTGTTGGACGAATCCGATTGGCTGTTTCGAATTCTGGTTCCTTGGGCCTTGTCAAAGTCAGTTTTGGCTTTCTTTGAATGATAGAACCAGCATCGTCCTATAATATAACATCCGCAAAATTTAGCTAAACATTGTATGATCCAATATAAAGGAAAATTAAAAGAGAAGAGGAATCCTGTTACATGGGATATGCTGCTGCTACGTGGAATCTCCATAACTCTTGTGTTAGACTGGAATTTCTTCATCATTTCTGCCATTGAAACAAAAGGGGTAGCCACTTCTCGAACATAGATCTAAACAAATATAAGAACAAGTTAGTTGAGTCAGTAAACAATAGACGATTTTGACTTTACAATCTAAGACAACTTGATTATAATGCAGACCTTTCTGTCCCCTTTACAAGTTTTAGTCGTTGAGGAGCGTAAGTTACTATCTCCACCAATTAAAGTTGCTCTTGACTTGTGAGGGAGATTCTGGGGTTTGATACTAAGAATCTGAATTTTAAATAATAAATCAGTTACCTTTAAGAATACTCCTTGACAATTCGTCCATAGAAATTGCAGATTAAGAAACAAAATAGAAAAAAAAAAGAAGATGAGAACAGTTGCAACAATAACCTGTCTAGATCTTCCACCTTCTAGCCTCTGTTTCTTAATTGCTTGGTTTTCTTGGGCGAAATCTGGTGCTGAAGCAGTGCTCTTGGCCTTTGTGACACTGCAAATTCGGAATGAGTGGTAGAATTAGATAGATAGTGGTTAAGAAATTGGAAATAACCACCACAAGGCAATATAGAATACCAACCTTCTAGAACTAGCTGGTTTTACATTTTTAGCGTGTGGTAACTGGGATTGATCTTTATGTTTTAGGGCAGATGGATTTCTAACTAAGCTAGCTATCTTTTTGGCTGTCAAATTCTTCTTTGAATTCGCGGTCAGTGGTTCTGCTTTCTTACATATTGTCTGTGGTTTGGGAGTACAGGCTTCTGAACCTGTTGAAAAACTCAAGAAATTAAAATTGTGATCCCATTAAAAATTCTGGGAGAAATGTAATTGCTCAAAAAAATTATGAATTACCTTGGATGACAGAGGCCACAGAGGAAGTAGTCTCATTGGCACAGTCTTTTGTGGTCTCCTTACTTGTAGACTTAGTTCCAGTCAGAATACTGAAATCAACAGCAAGCCAGAACCAGAGTAAGAGATACGAATTAAATTAACAATTCAATTCCTCTATTCTAAGTAGTTTCAGGATAAATATAATTTGGCAATAACAGAGAACAAACCCTCCACTATTCTGAGTGCTGCTTACACCATTCTTGTCTTCACTAATCTGCTCAGCAAGAGGAATCAAATCAAGTGAAAGATGTTAGAGGAGTTGAAGAACTAGAAAGCAATTGAAGTCTGTGTGCATTGCTTCCGTTATTAATCTGAGTACCTGTTCAATGTGGCATGTTTTACTTTCTTCCTCAAGCTGATGGGTCTCGTCTTTTCCTTTTGCAGTTGGCTCAGTGATGAACTCGGTATTGTTTGCTTCCTTGGCTGGTACCGAAGTTGTATCTTCAGTGGGAGTGGAGGTAGTTGTAGTGTCTGATGATGGTCCCGAAACCTAAACCAGCATACAAAAGAGTGATCAGTTGTTCCTTCACTCATCCCTATCGGTAAAAAGTGATCAGAAACTTTAAGAATCTTCAAGGATTTAGTTTCAATGTAGAGGAGGAAGATTTTACCTTCTGAGAATTGTCTTCATTACTAAGATCACAGAGGGTTTCAATTTGAATGGATCTACCCGTTTTGATTCTTGGCATGAAAGCTGCATTAATTAATCCAGAAAGATTAAAACCTACCAGGAGGAACTGAAATTGCAAATAAGACTATGAAAGATCACATTCTCCGGTTGAATTTCGTTTTCATGCTTGGAACAAGGTCGGCGGGGGATAACATGAAGAAAATTCATTCACTTCTTCCTTAAGAAATATAGAAATATTTCTCCAAGCATCCATTCTTGTCAAAAAGGCTCATGACTCCCTTCTCAGCAGAAACTAAGAAAGTTGAACAAGAAAAGAAAACATACGCGAGGGGGCATAGCTTAGCGCGGTCTCAAACCAAAGCTCTGCATTTCGCATCTCCTCTTCAGATTCGCCGTTAATAAAATCATAGAAACGAGGCGCAGAGAACTCGTAGGTCTCGTCTATCATGGCGTTCAGGTCTTCTACTGCCATTGATGGATCGAGTGCAGAGTAAGTTTTGATGGATGAAGGATTTCGCGGAGAGGGAGCGGAAACAGGAACGGAGCGGGAAGAGGAAAAACGGTCAGCTTCTTGGAAGTTTCTATTTCGGAGGTTGAAGAGACGAAAGTATCAAACGTTACAATGCCAACGGTCAAATATTTGAAAAGGGGGCCAACCCACACAAACGGCGTTAAGGAGGAAGGCGTCAAAGCGACTCTGCTTAGAGGTCTGTCTTTATAACGGCTATATCTGACGGTCCGAACGCTCCCCGAATATTTCATTCGTGTAAATAGACGAAAAGGCCCTCTAATAAACTGGTTGCCTTGTCATTCGTTATATTGAATCATTATGAAAATGGCTTAAAAATTTAGCTGCTTGATGTATAGATTTTTTGGTTGACTGTTGACCAAACTTTAGAAACACAAGGATATATTTAGAAATTAATATATATATATATATATATATATATATATATATCCATTAAAACTTTGGTAAATCTGAAAAAATATATTATTTGAAAGTTGAAATAAATAAGGCTCTGTTTGGACAAGCTTTTATTTTGAGCTTTGGGTTGTGAAAAACTAAAATTGGGCAAAATAATGTATGTGTTTGGTTCCGTTTATGTTTATTGAATAAACGTTTGTAGTTTATTTGCTGATAAAACTATGAAATGCAATAATTGCAACTGTTTATGACAACTAGGCGTTACACCATCGTAATAGTAAATAAACGTCTGGTCATTTGTGGAAGCTTTAAAAAATAACTTTCACAAACGGCTGACATGCACAAAATCCAAAATTCACTTTTTACATTTTCGATGCATGCAAAAGAGCAAGAGAGAGAAAATGCTGAGATGGTGCCTATGTGGCACCGCCAATAAACATTTACTAAATAAACGTAAACGGAACCAAACACCCTGAATATTGTGAGCATTTTGGTAAAAGGTTGATTTTAATAGTCATGATGATCTAAAAGCCATAACACTTTTTTGCCTAATGCCTGAAATTTGGGCTTTAAAAGAGCAAAACCTGAAACTTGGGCAAGGTTAGCCCAAAAGTTGGGTTAGGGATAGGGTTGAAAACATGGACCTGACTTCACTTGTTTGTATGTACATAAGAAGTGATCTTTTTCAACTTAAAGGAAGATATGATACATTTGTTTGTATGTACCTGACTTCACTTGTTTGTATGTACAACTGTATATCAAAGGTATAATTTCACAAAAAAAAAAATGTATCAAAGGTATACATCATTGATATGATACATTTGATTGGTATTCAAGGTTGCCAATACGGGAGAAGATTTAAAATATGCATGTATTGTCTATGCCTTAGAAGACCAATATAAACCTCATTATTATTTAAAAGGCATGGAGCCAATAGGTCAGAGGCCGGACTATGAAAAGAAGGCTTAGGTGACATTTGATAAATCTGAAATTTTAGATCAAAAAAGTTAAAAAGGTATTTTTTGTGTCTGAAATCTGAAAAGAAGCATATGTGCTTTCTTTACTTTTTAGAGGCTCTAAATTCATAAGTTTGTTTGTTTTGGATCAATCCTTTACCATCTGAAATTTATTGGTTTTACTATTTTACCCCTAGAACATACTATTTGGAAATGTTGAGTTAAATTTGCATTATCTCATAAAAAATAATTTTCAACCTGAAAATAACATTGAAAAATTACAAATAAAAATAATAAATAAATAAATATTAATTATTAATTATTAATTAATAAATGAAATGATTAAAATTAAAAAATAATTAATGACTATAAAAATATTAAAATAATTAATAATTAGTAATGTTTAATAAAAATAATTATTAAATATTAAATATTAATAATTAATAAAAATAATTCATAATTAATAATAATATAATTATTACTACTCATTGAACTGCCGCCGCAAGTTGTAGTGGCGGTGGTGAGAAGATATGAGGGGGAGAGAGAGAGTGTGTGTGTGAGAGAGAGAGAGAGTGAGTTAGTGAGTAAGTGAGTAACAGTGAGAGCGAGAGTGAGAGAGAGTGAGAGTGAAAGCAAGAGAGAGACAAGGAACCGCCGCCGCTGCAACTTGTAGTGATGGTGGCGAGAAGATAGGGGAGAGAGAGAGAGAGAAGGAACCGTTGTTGTTGCAACTTGCAGCAATAGTGGCGGGAAGACATGGGGCAGAGAGAGAGAGAGAGAGAGAGAGAGAGAGAGAGAAGGAACCGCTACCATTGCAACTTGTAGTGGTGGCGATAGGAAGACAGGGGAGAGAGAGAGAGAGAGAGAGACAANAGAGAGAGAGAGAGAAGGAACCGCTACCATTGCAACTTGTAGTGGTGGCGATAGGAAGACAGGGGAGAGAGAGAGAGAGAGAGAGACAAAGAGCGAGAGAGAAGGAATCGCTGCCGCTGCAAGTTGCAGTGGTGGTGGTGGTGGGAATACAAGACAGAGAGAGAGCGCAGCGGCAATGGTGGTGGTAGATCTTCGTTAGGTTGCAGTGAGGGTTCAAATCGAGTTACATGAAGGACAAAAACATGTAATATTAAAATTTCTTTGTGGGAATTTATGTCTTTTACGCACCTCTCAATTACGTTTGAGTGCATTAAGCAGCCTCTCCACCTCTTAGAAATTAAGATCTGAAATCCAATTACAGATTTGTAATAAGAGGGCATATCAAACGAAGGTGGCATTTGAAAAGCAACGTTTTTAGATTCAGACATTTGAAAAGTTAAATCAAACGCCACCTTAACCTCAATAGCCTCACACCCCACTAGCAAGGCTTAGGCCTTGAGTTATTTGAGGCTTACGCCTTTGGGCCTTTGGCCTTCAACTGTTTAGCATACTAATGTTAAATATGATGGTTTATATAGGGGTAGAAATTTAAGAAAAAATAATGCTTTGTTTTGTAAAGATTGGCATATTGAACAAATAAATAAACATACAAATAACAAATAAATGTGTAAGAAAATAACTTGCCTTATTGTTCATAATCTATATTGCTCATACTTTATTCTTACCCACTTGCCCACTCACCCCATACTTGATGATCTATTTTGCATCACATAGGTGGTCATTCTTCAATAATGCATACAAGTGCAAGAAGTGAAACAAGAACGCTTTATTCTTAAATATTTTTGATTCATAACCTTGAATTGAAAGGTTTGATTATATGGCTTTGTTCTACTGTTTAGATTTTAGGGGAAAAACTATTATTTTAAGATTCTAACCATACAAGGTTCAAAGTATCAATATGATATGCCATCGTATCTTGGGGGTACCAATACCCATTTTGAAGGCATTTAAAAAACTCTTTTTTAACATAAAACTAACCATGCTTTTGGTCCAAATTTTGAAAAAAACAAAGATGTGCATGGTTCAAAGTGTTGATATTCGATACACCCCTTTCGACGTACTAGATGTATTGATACTAATTTTGTGTCTAATATATCAAACAAGCCATATAAGATCTTAATTTTATATTTTTCATTTCTTTATTGTTTATAAATTATATCCTTGTTTTTTTATTCGAGGCACACATCAAAATGCCTTGAGGCTTACACGTCGCCTCTAAGAGACCCAATCACCTTGCCTCCACCTTTAGACCTTAAAAACCTTGGGCTCTAGTGTAGCAGGTTGTGCCAATACGGCCCATAAAGGTTGAGGGCGGGGTCCAACACGAGCTTGGGCTCGTGGCCCACAAGCCCTGGTTCATGTTCTTCATTTCCTTTCTCTTTTTGTTTTCACTATAAAAATTAAAAACTCAAAAAACAAAAAAAAAATAAAGGAAAAAATGACAAATTCAATGATTGTAAGTTGTAACAACAATTTAAAAAGATCATCTTAAACTTTTATTCCATATGAATAATCAATTCATACAATAAATATATAGAGTGATTAAATAAAATTGAAAAAAATTACAATGAAATTGGAAAAGTGCTATAACAAAATAGAACGTAAAAATTTACAATGAAGTTGAAAAAAAATTACAAACAACTTACAAGGTACAAATAAATTTGATGAAAATCTCAAATTTTAAAATAATCTTTTTTTTTCCAACTCCCACTAAGTGGTGATACATTGGATGGCATGTCATGTCCTCTTTTTATCTTACGGTCTATCTTTTGCATCAAAAACACTATAGGGGTGAGTAGATCACGTGCCATAGTGGCAAGCATAGGATAATTATTTTGCTATGCTTTCCACCATGCTAAAATATTAAAATTTTCTATGTTGGACATCTAACAATTTGCTAGATGTCTTCTCAAATGGTTAGTGCCCAAACTACTAATACTTTGATAGTAAAAGTCACATTTTCATGATTTATTGCAAATTACTCTCATGCCCTTTTCCGGTACATCCTTCATGGTAAAATAATTCCAAACATCATTAGTTTGCTTTCTTGGTACCCTAAAATTACTAGGGCCAGCATTGAATTGGATTTGAGAGGGGGTCTAATAGGAACCAACCATTTTATTAAATATTAAAACCTAAAATTTATATAAAAAAATTCAACTAACTTGGTAGTTGTACTTCAGCCCTTGGAGTCTGGTTGTTGATTTGATATTCTAACTTGAATGCAAACATTTTAAGCATCCCAAATTGCCAACTTCAACTTGAGACAGTTGATTAAGCCTTCCTTTTTGTTGAAACTAAAAGAAAAAAAAAGAAAGAGTATATGTGAGTAGACTATAGAGTAGTATGGGAGTATAGTATGAGAGTGAGAATGGGAGATTGTATTTGATTGAATGAGAATAATTGTTGTTGTGATGAAAATGAGTAAGGGCTAGATTATTTATAGGGATTAGAAAAATTGAATTAACCAAAATACCCTCATAAACTAGTGGTTTATAGTTGTTAAGAAGGGTATTTTAGTCATTTACAAAAGTATTTATCACTTTACTTGAAAGTCCCCCATAAACTAGCTATTTATAGCTATTAGGGGGCATTTTACATTTTTTGCATCCCTTTGGTAAAATACACAAATACCCACCCAAATAGTTGTTTAAGTTGTTGGGGGGGTATTATTGCCATTATACCCCCTTATAATGGCTATACATGGCATATCCCGGGCCGTAGGCCATGCTATGCCTAGCACTGACATGAGTCGTGGCCATACCATGGCTGGTCTAACTTGTTTTACACCTTTGCTACAAGTTGGTTAACAATTGGTTGTAGCGAAGACTTGAGATTGAATCCAGCCTACGCTAGGGTTTTTTTTTTCTTGTGGGGGGGCTTATGTATTGGCAGAACTTTGAAAAATCAAGCACCAAATTGTTTATCACTGTTAACAGTATTTGAAAATCCGATTTCAAATTCGAGATTCGATATAATCGAATCAAATTCGAATAATTTGAATATCCAATTGGTCGAATTTGGATATCCTATTCATACCGAATAGCTAATCGGATTTGAATTCGGATATGACCTGATTCGATTCGATAAATATCTGAATTCGATCAATTATTAAATTATTATATATAATATATAAAATTTTTAAATGTTTTATATAATGTATATATATAATAATAAAAGTATATAAATAATTTATATATTTATATACTTTATATAAATAAAATATTTATTAATTACCTAAAACAATTAATTAGTCAAATTTGAATCAAATTGAATATTCAAATATATAATCCAATTTAAATTCGAATATTAATTTTCAATATCCGTTGGATATCGAATTTTTTAATCGGATTCGAATTCGGATATTGCCTGATCCAATTCAAATTCGATCTATTTACACCCCTATTTATCACTTCTATGATTCTTGGACTCAGGGTCTATTACCCACACAACCCACAAGCAGCAAATTGCTTATCACTTCTATGATTCTTGGACTCAGGGTCTGTTACCCACACAACCCACAAGCAGCAAATTTCTTATCACTTCTATGATTCTTGTATATTGTTATTCATGGCAAGATGTTCCCAATGTGTGGCTATAATGTATTGTGGGTAGCAGATCTCAGCAAAATTCTGGCTGATCGGTTATAAGTAAGGGTGTCAATGGACCAGTTTTGGATTGGACTCCGTCCAGTCCAAAATCAATTTAGGCAGATTGGATGGACAACAAGACATATTGAATTGGACCAATCCAGTCCAAAATATTATTTATTAGATTGGATTGGACCTGATCCATCAGTAACAAATTTATATTGGATTGGGTTGGATTAAGCCAATATCTGGTCCATTGATATAAGATAAGAATATATGTGTCAATGGACCGGGTTTGGGCTGAAACCAGTCTAAATCAAAATGAATTTAAACAGATTGGACAGTCCAGACATTGAATTGGACCAGTCCAAATTGGTTCAAAACATTCATTGGATTGGATTGGACCTAAATGGACTCACATTGGACTGGGTCGGATTAGACCAAATCCAATCCAATTGACGCCCCTACTTATGAGTTTTCTTTTTTTAATATCATAATTCCACGTGGTTTAAAAAGGACTCTATTTTTCCACAAAAAATAAGAACTATTCAAAATTGCTTTCATAAAAAGCGGCTCAAATTTTAAAACTTTAAAATTTAAAAATTTAAAAATTATATTCTTCTATCTTTCCTCACTCTGTTCATCTTTCCCTCCTATTCTCATCACTTGCATCATGTGCCACCCATGACTCAACTAGTAATGCGTGTAGAAGAGAATTGTTTATAGTTGCCCATATTCAATTCATTTTAAAGTTATTTTATATGATTACATCAAAATAAGCTTATCCATTAACCAAGTCAACATGTCTAAGAATCAGGTCTGATTTGAGCCTGACAGCATGCCACTGTGAATCTTGATCAGGTACATGAACCAAAGAGAACTAGGAGTGTAACTTGAACGGGCTCGGGTTGAGCTTTTGTTATATTTTGAATGGGCTTGGCTTAAAGGCCTGAGCCCAATGTAGTTGAAGTGTTTTGAATCCATCATAAGAACGATTGCTGAATTGGCAAACGGATAGAAAGAGCCACTGAGAAGTTGGGATTTGGGAACATGGATTCTACCAATAGCCTGTCAGTTGTAGTGGTCTTGAAGTAGTAACTAGTAAGCAGGTCTCTTATCCCCTGCAATGGCCAGTTGGACCCAGCCTAGGGGATCCATGTTTGCCACTTGCCAGTAACTGGATGCTCATGCTCCTTGGATTGGAATATCCTGTTCCTTTGAACCCCAATGGATTTTGGGAGTCATTGATTGTCCCTCAAGTAACTGTATTAGTGAATCCTGTTCACCATTCTACAGAGAAGCCAGCAAAATTATTTTTATACCCACCACCCACTAAGAAAATGAACCACAAATGTTCATTCACAGTGCTTCATCCTGCTTAATTGAACCAGACTCTGGACTCATTTGTTCACAAGACAAGCCCAATTGAGAGCATGTAAACTACAATTATAGTTGCTCATCCAACCAGTAGTATTTTCAATGCATTTACACTTACAAAGACTGTTACAATCCATGCGGATTTCTACCACTAACAAGACAAACAACAATACCATGAAAACCTTTACAAGGACAAAGAAGAGGGATAATTGGGTTTCCTTCTTATTTCTGAAGCACAGCTTTGTCAAAAAAAAAAGAAGTCCAAACCAAAAGGATTAGCTAGTGGAACCTCACAACTATGCAGGAAATATCATCCTTGCTTTTCCTAGAAAGAGCCTCTTCAGTCAGACGCTTGGCTGCCAATTGGGCATCCTTTGTCTGTTCAATAGCATCCACAGCCTCTTGGTTTGACATAACCTAGGGAAACATTGCGAGATAAGTCAGAAACCATGAATTATAATCTTAATTCAAATATTATAAAAGAAAGGAGAGGCAATGAAATAGAAAATGGCTTGTTAAACGCCTGGATCCTTCACCTTCTTAGTCCCATATAATTAAAAATTTTTCTTTCTATTTTTCTCCAACCATAAAATTAAAAAAATGAATGAAAATGGTACTTTTAAACAAGACCAACCTTCCATAACCCATCACTTGCAAATATAGCAAACTCTGTGTCATCCTCAATTATCTCTGTCACAACATCTGGTTCTGAACTGAGGTGGCCCTTCAAGCTTTTATCACCAAATGCCCTTGCCACCGCAAGCTGTCCATCAACTCGCGGGACATCTCCTGAACCCATAAAAAGTAGAAATTATAGTCCTATGGGCAAACTTAGAACAGTAATGATATGACACTACAGATTACTCTAGAGTCTAGACTAGACAAGCTTATCTACTGTCTTCACTACTAATACCAATTTGTTTTCCAAAAATTACATCAATACAAACATCAATTAAAAAAGAATGGAAATTTTGCAGATTCAGCACACTGTTGAGGGAGGCAGGGAGTAAACAACATAATTCTGATTACCTGGAATATTTGTCACAAACCCCCCTCTTCTCTCAATGATTTTTCGCTCCCTACTTGGCTCATGATCAACTGACAGCTGTTTGGCTACACCATTCTTGCAGATCACAGCTCGAGAATCTCCAATATTTGCTACCACCAGTTTCTTACCATTGATTAATATTGCAGTAACTGCAGTTGAACCTCCTCTTCCCAAATCACCTGATCTCTCTAAAATCACAGAGTCAGTTTTGGAATATGCGTTCTTGATTGCAGTCTCTGTTTCAGTCCAGAAGTCAGGCTGATTTCAGAAAGACAAGAGACAATGATGTAAGGTCACAATATATTCATAAAGTAAAACTTCAATGAAAGGGTTGGTGTTATGATAGCAACACAATAGAATTATCCATCAATAAATAAGAACAGGAAAGGGAATACTAGTATATTGCCTCTTCTAGAATATTGTCAAAAAGGTGGGAACGCAGGTAGTTTGGAACATTATGACCCGAATGACCATCAAATATTGCAAATAACCCCAATTCATTGTCATGTACTTTCTTATATTCTGCAACAACATAATCTTCCATGGCATGATTTGATTTTCCCTTAACCAAGTGGAAACCATGTGTAATGTGCCTTCCAGACATCTTGCTCTTGCCTTTCCCTGTATCTGATGCAGATGAACCGAAACCAGCTTTTACCTATGTGAAATATAGTAAGCCAAAGAAACCAGTGAAACAAGTGAGATTCGGTTAAAGATGTTATGCATTACTAATTGCAAAAATATTAACATTGGTAAAATCCATGCATCAATTTGCTATCAAAAAGAGATTAATGATTAACTCCTTCAGGAGTAAATGCAGCCAGATTTACAGTTCCTTATAAAAAAAGAAATCAACCAAGTTTATTAGCATTTTCAGCAAAAACTATCAGTTAAGCCAACCATTATTCTCTCATTTTAAGTCTCCATAAAAGAGTTTATTTACTGATGAGATGATCTGCATGGTTTCCCAGTTAGCTGTAATTAACTTACACTAATATTGGTTAGTAGTTACTGCTTTTGCCCATCAGTTTGGTTCTACATTTCTTGTTGATGCTCCTCCTTGGCTGTGTTTGCTTTCAGTGCAATTTTGTTTGCACTAGTACAAATGCATGGGAGTGCAAATGCAAAGAATGCAAATTCTGGTTTAATTTGGTTTTGGGTTTTACTTTATCTTTCTTCACGTCTTGTTTTACTTCATTTGTACTGCAATCAAACAAAATAAGGTAAATTTTGAAATAAAAATAAATCATAATTTGCACTACAATGGCTTTGCATCAATGCAAATAAATTCGCATTGCAACCAAACACATTTAAGACCAGATTCTTTAGTTCTCATACGTGGAGTCTTACCTCTTCACTAATTCTAAATTAGTAACTGACCTGTTTAACGTCCCAGAAAGCATGAAGTTTAATTTGTTCCAAAGAATAAATCTAATCCTCTTGATTTGTATTTATCCATATACAAAACTTCACTAGAGCCCTTTGTTTATCTTAACTTAAAGAAGTTTAATTTTCCTATAAGGTACCTGATATGGCCTTCTCCAATTAGAGTTTTAATTATTTCTCTAGTTGCATTCTACCACAACGCTCACATTTGAAGGACAAATAAACATTAAAGCTTCCTTTTTTCCATTATGATGGGTGGAAAACAACACTTTGGCCATAAAACAGCCAAATAATATAAATGAAATTTTACATACTGAAGAATTATCCAACTCTTTAAGTAAAATGAAACCCAGGTCAAAGGAATGATTCCTTAATCTAAGAAGATTCCAGAAAACCACCGATAAAACCTGCAATGGAGTAACATTCATATAACAAATAAAGCACTGAACAAGTTGACACAAGAAAATTGATTATATCAAAATTAATACTAAGACCTGTTGTCATTAGCATTTATCAATCTGATACGTGTGGAAAGATCATAATCAATGACCTAGAATCTGTAAATGAAATCATTTGAAGGCATGGATTTCAAGGTTGTATTTCTAAATACAAGAATTGGGATTTAGAGGATGAGATAGTATAGCAAGCATTGTAGTCACTGAAAAAAAATAAAATCAATGCAACAAGCATGGAAACTGACATCAATTTCATGAATTGCAAAAGCCCCCATTAGTTTGCAATCACCATACAAATAGTAGAAGGACAAAATGGACATACTAGAAATTTACAGGTAGCGAAGTCAATAGTTGGTTATAGGGATGCCAATGGGATCAAAACAACATGTAAATCTGAGCCAAATAAGTAAAACTTTCGACCCTATATATATATCTCTCTAATTGAAACTTGACAGAAAATTGCAGATGTTTTTATAATTGTGCTGAATATGGATACACCCCGATCCAATCTAATCACATATCTTAAATAGTATAATATAACATGTAACTTCCACAACAGATAGGAGGAGAATAAGTTGAAGCTTCGTATTAGGCCTCAGGTTCATCATACTCAAGCCATGAAGGCTGTTCCTTTCTTCCTAAGTCAACTCATAATTCTGGAAGAGTAGCATATAGCTTGATGTCTGACTACTTGGAATGATAGTTGGGAGGTCACAACTTTCCAACAAAACCCATTTCCGAGTCAACTCAAAAAATGGAGGGATCGGAGAATGAAAGATGAACCATAATTAAGTAGTTGAAAATAACTACTGTAGAATCCCTCAATAATTAACGTTTTATCTACTCTCATCCCAATTTATTTCTCATGCCGATCCACAAGAATCCAGACACACTAGAAGTTAAACTCTAACTATGAGCAATCAACAATCTGGTGGAAAGGCCAGATAAGCGATCGGATCAGAGCATAAACACCCATAATTTGTCTCAAATTATAGATTGCAGGATACAAAAATCAATTGGATCGCAATTTTACAGAAAAAAGCAAAGGAACGGAAGAGAAGGGGTCTTCTCACTGACCTTCATCTTGTGGAGAATTTCCCTTCCAGTCATGGTTGCTATCGGGAAGACGATCGTCAAAAGCGAGATCACAGGGCGAAATGGACGGCGAAGGGGAGACAGGTGTCTATTAATAGACGAGGTTGAGGTTCATCATCATCATCAACTTCGTACAGCCAGCCGTAAAGGCAGCGGAACGCCAAGACGATTAGACGACCCCGCCGACGACTTTTCTCCCTTCCATTTCTCTTTTACTGTTTTTTTTTTTTTTTCCTTCACCTTTACTCACATTTAAATTGTGCCTCGTGAGTCGTGAGTCATCACTCCGATTGGTCAAAGCTTCCGGTATCGTAGAAACTAGAAATTGCCTTATATATTTCTTAGGCTATATTTCATTTGCGACAAATACCACCACGTACAATAGGGGGATTCGAGCCGAGCCGAATACTACCAGGTTCGAGCTCGGCTCGAGACTGGTCTACGAGGTTCGAGTTCGGTTAAATTTGAGTTCGATTTTGAAGAAAAATATTTTATAAAAATAAAAAATTATATATAAAAATATTTTTTATTTGATATTTAAAAAATTAAGAATTATAATAATTGATAATTATTATATATATAATATTTTTATTATATATATATATATATATATTCGAGCCGGCTTACGAGCTTCATGAGTCGAGCTTTAGTAGGCTCGAGCTCGGCTCGTTTAATAATCGAGCCAATGAATTGGGCTCGAACAGCTTGTAAAAAGCTCGACTCGTTGTCACTCCTACCTACCAATTAGTAATGAGTCCGGATCTGCTGACCACAATACATTGTTGGCAGCGTTCACACAGCCATGTATGCGAAACATCGGTTGTGTTGTGGTCACTGATATTCTCAATGCGTGATTGGATGAGCATGGCCATCAATGTGTTGTGGTCAGTAGATCGGAACTCGCTTATAATTACCCCTTTGAAATTTCATTTGGGACAAAGACATTGTGAATCTGTGACAAATACAAATACCTGGCATTAAGTCTGATGATGGGAGGCATTAAATTATCCATGGTTTTCAAAACCAGATCGGACGGTCGGACTAGAAAAACCAGGAATCGGTCAGATGACCGGTTTTGTTTTACCTAGAACCGTTATTTCCCCCAAAACCGTTGATTTGGTCAACAAATTGTTGACTTGGGTGGTCGAACCGTTGAACCATTCAACGGTTTGGCTGATTTTTTTTTAATTTTTAATTTTGTTTGTCAGAACGGGTTGTCTGGGTCATTGTTCGAGTCGGTTTTAAAAACCTTGAAATTATCTACTTGAACTTTCTTTATTTTCCTTTTTCCACACTTTTCTCTTAAACCCTAATCAATCCAAATTATCTTCATTTTCTACAAAGAAAATTAGTTAAAATAAAAAGAATCATTTTATTGATATATAAAATTAAGTTTTTTTTTTAATTCATGTTTCATTTTATTGACATGAATTAAGAAAAACTTTCTTAAAATATAAAAATTATCTATTTCTTTCTTCAATAAATTAAGAAAAACCAAACAAAAGACAACTTTAAATTTACATCCATGAAAAAGAAATCTCTACCATTTCATTTGAATAATGAATCCAACCAAAAATCTATAAAGATCTATTAGAGCACCCGAGAGGATTTCAATATTATATTTAAAAAATTAATAGAATCATAAATTATTCAAATAAATAAGAAAATCATAATTTGGAGATTTAAAGAATTTAAACAATTATATGAATTTTTTTGAACGGATGGAAGTATTTGTTGCAAATAAACATTTTATTTTTGGAAGATAAACAAAATATATATTAAACCAAAGAAATATTTACAAACTGCTTTACCTTTGGGATCCCTTCAGGATAAGTTATTATATTCAAAATAAGATAGAGAATGAGTTTTTGCTTGTTGGGATACCTTGTGAGCAAGAATATTAAAAGTACGGTTAATATGTTTAAACAATATAGTAAACTCTAGATTGGAAATTAAAAACTTGGTTCTTTGCAAAAGCCAACGGCAGAACCAAGGTAACTGAGAATCCTTCTGGAGCGCCTAGATCACTTGAAGATTATCTGAGCAGATACAAATGTTTTTGTGATTCCATTCTTGTAGCTTCAAAAAGACCTGTAAAATCGCAAAGAGTTCAGCATGATCTATAGCATCCGTGAAAATGATTAGATCAGTAGTACAATTGAGAGAAAGATTTAAATCATTAGGAGAGGGAGAGGACAAAAGATTTGTCATAGTAGTAGGCTAAGAAGATTTTTGAAAAACTTTGTTAACTGTAGATAGGATGTGCATACGAAGGATCTGTTTATTTTCAAAAATATTTCTATTTCTTGTAGTCCAAATGTAATAGCAGGCAATTGCAAACCAATTTAAAAATTTGAGAAAAAGTAGATTATCTTGGATTTGATTATAGAGATGATTAAAATATGTTGTCCAAGAAAAATGAGGAATAAGGCTTAGATCAAGATTCCAAGGATTGCCAAAGAGGACAACACGAGCAAAGGAGCAATGCAGGAACAGATGTTTTGTAGTCACTTCAAATTGGTCACAAAGAATATGCAGTTTATTTGCAGGATCAGAAAAAAGAATACTTCTGACTGGGATAAAATTGTTGAGAATTTACCACAAGAAAAGTTGGTATATTGGCGGAACTGGTAGCTTCCAAATTTTGGATAGGCAGGATTTAAAATCATCAAAAACTGTAGGAATAAAGAGAGCTTGTTTGGTTTTATACTCCTCCTTAACAAAAAAGATTCCTGGCTTATGATGTAACCAAATCCAATGAAGATCATTAGAGGAGGGGAAGATGGGAGTTTGTAAAATTTTCATAGCTTCTTCCTTATCAAAGTATTGCTGAATTATGAGAGGATTCCAATGACCTTCTGAAAAATATGTTGTCCAAGAAAAATGAGGAATAGGAAGATTCCTCAGCTGAAGAGAGATGGGAAAGGGAATCCAGTGGAATTTCTAATTAGTTTGGATCCAGAGATATTGAGAAATTAGGAAGTTAGAGTTGTCATTAACCAGATAACCTACTTCATACACCAATTCGCGAAGTTTTGCATAGACTAACTTCTAACAAGCAAAAGCATTAAAAGACGTGGTGTAAGGGAAAATATTCTCTGGTTTAAGGTATTTTGATTTCCAGACTTGTGCCCAGAGTTTGTGTTGTTCATTCAAAAATTTTCAAGCAATTTTCTTTAATAGGGCAAGATTAACCATAGTTAGATTTTTAAACCCTAATCCACCAAAAGTTTTTGGTAAGGTTATGTCTTCCAAGAGCACTAGCGATGGCAGTGTTTACGAGAGTCTAAAATCTTCCACCAGAAGTTTGTAACTATCTTAGTTATTTGATGAAGAGATTTATGGGGGAATTGGATTAAACTCATTGAACGGATAGGAACAACTTGTAGAATTGATTGGATCAAAACCTTTTTCCTATCTTGAGTTATGGCTAATGCTCTCCAATTGTTTAACTTAGCTTTCAAATTATCCAAAATATAGCTAAGTTGGTTATGTCTATTACGGAACTACAGAAGAGGAATTCCAAGATATTTCGATTTCTGATTAAGGGGTCCTATATGGAGCTGTCTTTTGATCATTCTTTGGTGGCGAGGGTGGATATTTTTACTAAAAAAGATCCTAGACTTGTCCAAATTTATTAGTTGACCAGAAGCATTTTGGAATTTTGAAAGAATTAAATTCAAATTATCCAACTCATCTCTATGGGCTCTTAAGAAAAGCATAATATCATCCTACAAAGAAGAGATGCGAGAAAAGTGGGAGAGTGAGAAGATAATGTCATTCCTTGAACTTTATTTTCAGCCTCAGGTTGATATAAGAGACACTCAGCCCTTCCATGGCAAAAATAAAAAGATAGGGAGATAAAGGATCTCCTTGTCGAAGGCTTCTAGTGGGACAAAAATGACCTTTTGAGGTACCATTAAGCAGGATAGAGTAAGAGGCTGAGGAGATGCATTCTTTAATGAGGTGACAGAAATCCTCAGAGAAACCTAATGATGACAGAATAGTTAACAAAAAGCTCCACTCTAGACGATCATAGGCCTTTGACATGTCTAGTTTAACAACAATGTAGCCTATACCCTGCTTTTTATGTTTTAGGTAATGAAAGGCCTCCTAAGTTAAAATGGTATTATCAGACAAGTGGTGGCCAGGGACAAAAGCTACCTAATTAGGAGCTATGCATTTATTGAGAATAGTCCGAAGCATAGAAGCTATCAGTTTGGCTATGATCTTATAGGTGACATTACATAAGCTAATAGGCCTATAATCTTGTACTTTTGTACAATCAACTTTCTTAGGAATAAGACGATAAATGTGATTTAATCTCCTGAGTAATTTCTTGTTCCTAAAAAATTCTTGAACCACCTGCACAATTTCAAATCCCATGAAGTCCCAACATTCCTTAAAGACCAAGGTTGGCATCCCATCTGGCCCAAGGGATTTTAAACTTCCTATATTGAAGAGAGTAGATCTGATTTCTTCTTCAAAGGGGATGTTTAGTAACATGGTGTTGTCTTCTTGGGAGATTATTGGTGGAAAGAGGGATTGCAGATCTTCAATTTCTTGGGTTTCTTGAGAAGAGAAAAGATTCAAACAATAATCCACAAAATTTTAGCTATCTCCTAGTGATTTGATTTCATTGATTGGAACTATCCTTGATTCCTTCAATGTAATTCTTTTTTCTTCTACAAAAAGTGCTTTTGTGAAAAAAGTTGGTCTTTTGTCTCCCAAATGCAACCATGTGTGGCGAGACTTTTGTCTCCAAAAGCTTTCTAACTATCAAGATGCTTCTTCTAACTGTTTACAGGTGGTCTTCTAATTGTTCAGCCTGAATAATTTGTTTCTCCAAATTATCTATTATTGTCTTAAGATCAATAAAATGAACTTTCTACCATTGGGTTAGATTTTTTTTAATCTCATCTATCTTCCTAGTGAAACAAAAAGCTGCATATCCAATTACTTGAATTTGCCACCCTTCTTTTAAAACATGTCTACAAGAATCATCTGAGAGCCACATTTCAAAAAATCTGAAAGGTTTGGGCAAATTCTATTTTTTAGGGTGCAGGTTTAAGATTAAAGGATGATGATCAAACCCCCATTTTGATCTTAAGGAGAGAAAGGTATCAGGAAATAGTTGAAGCCAATCTGGAGATAAGATAGCTCTATCTAGGGTTCTTTGGATGTGGCCTATTGTCCTTTTGTTTGTCCAAGAAAGGCCTCCCCCTTGGAGATTAAGTTCTAATAGATTATGATTAAAAATTAAGTTTCTATATTGAGAAGAGGTAAGGTGATGACT